GCCACTGCACTCCAGCCTGGGCGACAGAGTGAGACTCCGTCTCAAGAAAAAAAAAAAAAAAAAAAAAAAAAAAATTATTCCTAGGAGTTGCTACGGAATTGCAAAATAATTTGGCTAAATGGTACTATAGGAATAATATCTTCAAAACAACTTGTTCAAAATGAAGAAAAGAAAAATTTATAAGTATATTTAAATTATAAAAGGTTTTTTTCTAACGTTCGTTTATTCATCTAAATAAATTAATATAACATCATAATGCTTACTTTTACAACATATATGAATACATATATACATATGTATAAATTTCAATAAAACTCTTTATTCAATTTTCTCTACCTCATAAATGACTGCAACAACGATATTGTTTTATTATTTCCGTTATTATAAATTAGTTTTTTCATAGAAACGGGCTTCGGAGCCGTTCCACATATATAAGCTAAACGGATTTATATATATAAGATATATAACATTAGTTCTACTATAACAGGAAGCAGGTTTGTTTTTACTACCAAAGGAACGTTATAGCGATATTGAAAATTTCCCTTCTTAAATTATTCCTTCCATATAATTTTTGAAAAAATTGTATTTAAGAAGAGTGCCCTTTTATAAGCACTTATTCATATTACAACCAATTTTGTTCGCAAAATGCAGAAAAAAAGAGAAACTATACGAGCAATTCCTCAGTTGCCAGCATAAGGTCAAAGCGTAAAAACGAAAAAGTAAAAATGAAAACCCTCGTTCTTAATGTTATCTTCGTATTGCTCCTAGTATGGAAATATAATTATTCCTTCGGTGCAAAGTAAGATTTACTTTTTTCTAAAATGTTAAATAACTCTTTATGTTTTTAAGTTTACCTCTCAGTTATGCTCTAAAATATATAAGTACACATCTTATATCTACACCTTTAATCCTTCCAACCTATGTGTTCACGCGTGGTAGCCATATCTCTAGAAGCAATTTTTTATAAAAAGGACGCAAAATTCATAATGGATTTTTTCTTTTTTTTTTTCCCTTTGTAGCACATCTATGAATAGCCCCATGGGTACGCAAAATATGTCTCATGATCTACCAAACCAACCATTTGGAAGAATAATGACAGAAACGCTTGTAGATCAACCATATAAGGAAGATTTTGCTATAGGGACCAGAACTGAACAAAACAATTTATATAACACTGAATCGGATGATACCAGTGCACATAGTGATGATTTCAGAGGATTGTGTACCAAAATATCATCAATATGGAAAGAGTCAGTTGAAGATATGGAAAAAGAATATAATGAAAGAACACAACAAGTAGAAAAAGCATGGAGGGGAGGAATATGGAATAATAAATGGGCCAAATACTTAGAACATGTACGTAATACCATTCAAAGGACGCTGAACGATTTGAGTAATACTCCACATGATACAGAAGTTAATGTAGCATTTATGCTATCCCAAGTTTTTTCCGTCTTTTCAATGTTTATAGAAGAGGTTATTGAAGATGCAAAGACGCTAGGTAAAATGTAATATCACGTAAGAAGACAGAAAAAAATGAAAAAAAAAAAAACGTCTTATCACCGACAAAATAGAAGACATAGTGCATCACTCGGGAAGTAAAAAAAGGGTATGAAATGGTAAAAAATGGTGAGGAACGCAAAGGTAAAACAACTCCACATTTTCATCGCAAGTAAACGCGTCACCACGAGATGCTCAACAATTTAACACCATTAAACATACCTTTTCTCTGCAACTGTTAGTTATGGATAAACGTAGCATACAGCACACACCACTATAACAAGCCAACGAGGGCGTCTACTGTACACACGTTTCTGTGTAGATGATAAATTATACAAATCAATTTTTTAAAGAAGAAAAATGGCACTTTTAGGACCCTCCAAATATTATGCGCAGTAGCTATACGAAGGTACAAATTGATAGATCATTTTATAAATACCTATTATATTTTGAAGCTGAAATAATGCAGCTGAAATTTGTAAAAATTACTTGTCAGAGTTGAAACAAAAAATATACTTCCTAATTATTTTCCTTAACTTTTCCTTGTCCCTTTGCTTTATTGCTAAGCCCTCTAAGTCTGGAACATCTCTTAGTTGATTAATATATATTTAAATTTAAGCGTAATTCCTCTTCGTGAAAAACGCCACCCGTCTTGCTTAAGCATATGTTGTGCATGAATAGTTACATTTATTTTATATGTAGGCAGTATTTTTTTTTTGCAAAAAAGACTTCTCAATGTAAATAAGTTACATGTGCACGCCCAGAAAGCGCCTGAATATCCTTTTGGCATAATTAAATGAACGCCTTCACACGCCACGACTGTGCAAAGAGGGGAAGTCACCATATCGAAGAAAACATAGATGTTTTCCATAAGATTATTGAACTCTTGTTAATAGAATTTTTATTCCAGACCGTCTTAAACGTACGCTCCATCGGGCCATTCCTTGTGATAACGGCATAGTCATGTAACTGCCTGTATCTGTAGGAAGTTTATAAATGTTAAGGATAAAACGGCATACCCATAAAGCTACGAAATTGTGTAATTGACATTATTTCTAGAGCTATCTTTCCACGGTTATATTACCATAGTAATATTTGCGATGTTTTTAAAATTGTAAAGGTCGACGTTGAATAAAAAGTACGATCGAGCCACAAAAAAAGCATACTCTAAAAAATATATTCTTCAGAATAAATTTTGTGAGGTTATAAAACCTCACCTGAGATGAGAAAATTGTAAAAAATAGGGACATATCCATGTAAGAAAAAAAAAAAAAAAAAAACTTTTAAAATATACTATATAGTAAATAAAAGAACCATGTCTTATTTAAGAATGGATGCAAAAATAAGCGTTTCATTAAAACATAAAAGAAATATATACATTTAGGAAAAATTATAAATGCAAAAAGGGTTATTAATTAATTTAATTCTAATATGTACATGTAAGCTTAGTTTGACATAAAACATATATTTCTAAAGAAATATCATACGAGTGTAGGATTCGTATCATTACTATACACACAAAAAAAACAAGTCATCTAAAAGAATGCACACGTTTATATACAACATAGTGAATCGAACTACATTCGGAAAGGTTAATTAAAAATATGCCAAGGAAAAGAAAAAAATTAACAACACTATTATGCATGCACATTATATGTATGCATATACATGGTGCATCTCCGACACATTCACTCTCAAAGCATCCATTTAAGTTTTCATACGAACGAGTGATCCTACGGCATCCCTTGAAAGGTTACTCAGCGGATGGCTCCACATAACTGTTTGACCCCGATTTTAGCCTTTCACTGACGAAGAAAAGTTACTTATAATATCAGCAATGTTTAATCATTATAAAAAAGGTACGTGACAAATATATTCAACACCTTATCGAAAAGATATAATCCAATTATAATAGGCACCGATATTAACATTGTAAAAGCTATAGAATTAACCACGCTCGCAGGATTAAGCTGAAAAAGAGTAATTGCAGCTACTACATATAATATAAGTACAAAAAGAACTATGTTGTCTTTCACGAATTGAGCGAAGTGGCCCCAGCACGTTTTAGGTATTTTAGCAGGGTCTTCAAACCCGGACACCATTTTTCGGCGTAACCATTTATACACGTCAGCATCCATCATTTTTATCGCATCAACACATCTATTACCAGTTAATTTTATTGCAGCAGGGTCTTTACGATTGAAATCTTTTAAATTATGCTTTTCTTTATAGGCATCTACTTTCTGAGAAAGGTATTCCTTTTCCTCTATTACATTTTTGTAAAAACGTGAATTCTGCTTTAATCCTGGTCTTTTATATTTTAACACACTCCTAAGAAATTCCTCTTGAACTCTTGGCTGTAAAACAAACATTTTTAGAACATGAAGCATTTTTAAATTAAAGGAGTCTTGCATTTTCAACATATATGTCATTAAAATGTGCACTGAACATGTGTAGATATATATATATAATAAGCGCAAAGGCCGTGCCAACTTACATCAATGGTTGAACAAGGTGACATCCAGACGATACGGGTGAAAGCCAAAATGATACGAAGAACACACGCCATATTTACTGGATTTTTCTTTCCCCCACCCCCCAGCCGCGCTGGTAATAATTATACAAGGTAAGGTTCATATATATACGGTTGTTCATTATTTAAAAAAGAAAAAAAAAATGAATCTAAAAAAATACATTTTTTCGATATTTTTTACAAATACTTTGACATCAATTCCTTTGTACAATTTTTAGCATTTTCTACGGTACATATGATCCTCTTAAATGGGGATTTCTCTTATTTTTTTTTTCATCATGCATTTTTACACATAACACCGCTTTGTGTGTGTACTCAAATCAACGTTCCTTTCTTTTTAGGAAAATGAAAATTTTTAAAGTAAATCAACTGCGCCAAAACTCTTTTGGAAGTATAGAAGTACGCTCATAATAAATTTTCTTCAAAACATTGCCCTCCAATTTTTAACGCAAAACATTATAAACGTAGCGGTCAATTCTTCGTACCATAACTGATTGCACCAATTACAACCAATGGGATAAATACAAGGGGATATTAAAACAAGGGGAGGAAAAAAACGACTTAAAAATATTTTTTCTCTTTTTTTCTTATTATGATAAATTCCTCTAGTTTCAATAAATTTTACTAATTAGCAAAAGTCGCACAGTGTAAAATAATTATGTAATATAAATTTGGGAAATATAACCTTTTAATATATGCGATAGTTACAATGTTAAATGAAAGGGCAAAACTTAAAAAAATAAAACTTTAAATTTGGATAATGCAGAAAAGTGCTAATTTCGAACAAAAGATAGTTTGCAAAATGATAAATTGCTTACTTGTTTGTTTCTTTGCTTAATTACATCTTATTGTTCGTTTCTCTTAAATAATACTGCGTAATAATGGCATAAATGGGAGAAAAAATAGAAAAAAAAATTAATAACCATCTTGATCTAATTTGATGATTTTTAAGTATGTCAAAATAATTATATTTTACACCACAGAGTGTGCATGCGAGTATACATATAAATAGGTGAAGTACACTATTTATACCCATCATATTTTGTTAGAAAGGCCATAATTGGGCTATAATTTTTTTTCTTTTTACTTCATTTAATAGTGTAATCGGGAACATTTAGGTGAAGGGATCCTTAGTTATTGCACTTCTCTCACTCAATCAGATAATTCTAAAGATTAGATATATAAGAGCTATTTCCCAGCTGACTCCTTCAGGGGACAAAAAAACAGAATCATTTTATTTAATCTCTGAAAAACCAAATAGTGTCCTATCATACGTAAATATAAAATACCTGTAGCAGGAACTTATGGGCATTTTCACCTAAATGGGTTATCACAGAGCCAAAACAGAAAAAACAAAACAAATAGTAATGTAAAAAGTTTAAAAATTGTATTAGAATGGGAAATAGGGTAAGACGATTCATGCGGGAGGAAAGCTCACATGTATTTGATCTTTTCTTTATGATGACCCTCCTTGTAGATATAATGATGAGCTTTATATTTAAAAAGTAAAAATAATACACAGTGGATATCTTGTGACCTAATAAATTATTGCCGATTATCCGGTTTTATTGTGCCTTATGAATAAAGATTATGTCAGTCATTCTGCACAGCATCGATTATTGAAAGTTATTACACCTTTCATGATATTCAGCTTCTTTGTAACCCCTATTGTCGTAAAATAGTTTGTCCTAATTCTATGGTTTCTTTTAAACGATGTACCAATAACGTATATAATTAACAAGAAAGCATTCTCAACCGAATGGGATTTTCTCCTTGTTGCCATCTTTAAAGTAGGCCAAAATAAAATATCACCCAGATCTGATCGTAACTTTGCAAAAATAAAATCAACTTATAACCCGGAACTTTAGTAAATTCATTTCTTAAGGCAATGCTTAAACTTCCTACCAAGTGGCGTTAAAAAAAAACGAAAAAATGTATCTTACCTAAATAAATACAATTTAATACAAAGTTAATTTCACCACTATTTTATTCGATACCAGACCTTTATTTATTAAAGGGATCCCCTAGTGTAACATAACAAAATATGATAGGCAACCCCTATGTGTTGCAAGGTGCACATCTGGAGAAAATATAAATAATATTGACCCATGTTGTCAGTTAAAATTTTTTATACTCAGTCTATACTTATAAATCATTTTGAAAGATCCTTTTTTTTTCTCTCTCTCTCCTATGCATACTAAAAAAATTGCAAATAAAAATATACGTCAGAAATGTAAAAAGAATGGTATGGTATGATAGGTTAAATAAATCAGATACACTTATGACATACCTTTGCAGTGCTGATGGTGGAGTATGTTCCCGACCTAAGGTTAATGTTCTGCCTTTGCATCTTAAAAATGAGAGATACTACTGAGAATTATTTTGAATAACTTTAAACACACCTTAAATGCCATTTAATGAACCTTTCCTCTTCCCATAAGACATAGTTATGTGTATGGAGGGGAATAGGAACCTCTATAAAGCATATTTTCCGCGTGTGCACCTTTATCTTGCGTAATACGAACAAACTCATGTGGGAGTAAAAATCTAGAGTGTTACTATAAATGAACTGCCAAATCATGAAAAAAATAGGAACACCCCTCGAATTCTTCCATTAGAAGCTCCTTCCTTCAACTCTGTAAACGAATCAAGGGGAAATATAAAAACGATTATTTCGTAAAGATAGAATCATGAAAAAGAATTTAACTTGTGGGGACCTATCCTTTATTCGCCAACTCTTTTCTGAATGAAAAAATAAGATAAAATCGCAATAAATGTAGAAAAAGAAATGAATCTTTTTCCGATTCTTAGATACCTCTCTCTTTGTTTTTCTTTACACTACGCGTCTTCTGCATCTCCATGAAGGATTTTAGACATAGTTAGCGTTACATATCAAGCTACTTTTTTTATAGGCGCCCTAATAAAACACCATTATTAGCAATTTCATTCGAAATAACGGATTATCCCTTTCCTCACAAATAAAAATTTATCACAGGTATAAAAAATATAATAATGAAGAAAGGTGAAGTCCAGTTGCATCATCAGGTTATGCCTTATTCACTTTGCCATTTCTATGACAACCCCCTATTTATTTTTCTTTCCCTTTCTGGATTGTCTAGATTCCTTTAGAAACAAATAACATACACCATTTTTTATCTTAAAGATAGTAGAGAAACGGATAACATTAATCTATGAAGCTTGTACAACATTTATTTCGTACATAACATATACATATTCCTGTAACTCTCACGATTTGTCATTTTTCTTACACGGGAAAAGTGTGTCACATAATTATACGCATTTTAAATAGGCAGAAGGGATGTATACCGAATATGTGTTTCATTAATATACACAAGCGTATATTCACTCTTGGCCTTTTATTTTAAAATCAATTATTCAAAGGTACTCATCATAGTTAATAGGGAGTAAATGAGTTTTCCTTCAAAGTTGTACACATTGTATATATATTTACATATACACACATATATATAGAAAAAAAAAAAGCTCTAATTTTTAAAAATTCAAGTAATTGATTAAATGGTTTATAGAAAGTAGTTGTATTCCTATTAATCATTTTGAAAAAAAAGATGGAAATTCATAAATAATAGTCACACAAAGACATATTGTGCCCTTTGGCAAAAGAAAAAAAAAAAAGCGAAAAAAGGATATATATTGTGAGGACCCTTTCTCCTTAACAACACTACAGCAATAATCTAAATGACCAGATAAAATGGGAATAATCCTATGTGGGGCAATAGATATGAATATCCATATAGACATATGTAAACACGTATGCAGCGTCGTCTTAACCTATTAGAAAAATCTACCTCAAGAAAATGGTGAAAATTTTTACAAAAACCAAATTATTTTATGTATAAATTTTCAATATTTACCATGTACTATATATTGCATCATTTTTGAGGAGATATCGAAAAAAGGTACGCTAAAAATCGTGCGCTTATTCCATTTTGATAAGTTATAAACTCTCCCAAAGTTGCATCATAATAATGGGTGTTATTATCATATATCTTTTTTGTCTAATTTACTTTAGTATACACTATTATTATACATTCCACTTGGTAATACTTGCTACCCTTGTGTTATAGAAGATAGGGTTCTTTCTTCTTTTTTTTGCACATCCCTCTGTGCTGCTTCTACTAGTCACGGGCACTTTTAGTTTTATCCTTAGCCTTTTTACCAGTATATCCACTATCGTTCTTATGGCTCTGGTCAGCATTGGCACTTTGTTTTTTAATATCATCAATTTTTTTCAGCTTAAAGAAGATATAAGTTAATGTTACTAGAACAGATGTCAACAATACGTTTGCCAGATGCTTCTTACATCTGTCGGATGTCAAAATGGATAAGATTAATAACAATAGGGGTGGAGTTATAATGGTATAATTCTGGGAGAAACTATTGATTATCTGCGTTCTGCAATCTGGAATTTCCATTAAATTGCTATTTCTGTTGGCTTTGTTAACTTCATCAAGAATTTTGCTTTCAAGGTTTAAATCGATTTTTCCTAAATAACCCTTTACATTATCTGAGAGGGTTCCCCATTCAACTGCATTCTCTACTTTATCCCAAATGACATCTTTCAAGTCCTTTAATTTTTGTTCAATGTCGATATTTAGCTCGGAAGGTGCTGCTCCTCCAGCTTCTGCTTGTTGGGGTGCAGGTGAGGGTGGTGCACCCTGTGAAGTTGATGGACTCTGTTGACCATTGGCGCCTTCTGACATATAAGATCCATGTGGGTTTGGTGGATTGTTTCCTCGTGGTTTATTTGATGCTAAGCATCTGTTGAAAGCTGCGTTTTCTACGATTCCTGCAGTGTACACCTCATCATGCGAACTGCTAAAATTGGTCTAAAAGGAAAAGATAAATGGTAGAAGAGTGTAAATATAATTATAATTCTAAAGCGAAATTTACATAATACAGGCTTCGCCATTGAAGCACGAAAATATGCGCTTAATTTCTACAGCATATGTGCAGTCTTCGTGTGCAAATCCAAAAACACCATGATGAAACAGAGGAAGAATTAGAAGCATCATTTTTCACACATAAAGACACGTAAGAACTTCTTAGCTTTACATATAATCCTTACATGGCTATAGGAACATTGTGAAGCCCAAATCAGGAGGGTAAAGGCAAAAATCTTGGAATAGAAAAAAATTGAGTTCAATACTTCCTTCTTTGGTTGATCTTTTGTTAAAACATTTGCATCAGCCTTACGTAAGCTTTTATCCACGAGGATATTATATCTATAACTCATTGTGTCAATTGAGGAGATTTCCTTATTTTTCAGAAACATTTTTTGGGGGGCAGGGTTCTTGCTTTGAAATTTAAAAATAATTTAAATCTGCAAATTACAAAATCCTATATCATAAATTAAAATATATGGAATGGTAATAAGGATTTTATTTAAGGAACGAAGATAAAATACATTCCTTAAAAATGTAATATATTCTTGTATATAAATTTTTACTTCAGTAGAATAAGATAATATATATTTATTAGCAAAGTTGCAGGAATAACAATTTTCTAAATTTTATATAATGCTAATTTATTATATAAAAATAAACAACTTTAACGTTTTTATTTTATATAATAAAAAATTCACGTTTAATTACTTTTTTAGTAAAAATTATTAATTATGCAATAAAATAATAATTCAATACTTTTTAGATAAATGAAATATTTTCAAAAAGAAAAAAATAATTTCAAAAGATAAAATTTCATTAAGGCTTCATGTCGTAATGAAACAATATATAAATATACGAACCTACGAATGGAAAAGGATAAATAATAAATAAATAAAATAATGAAATATTCTTAATTACGTGTTATTATATCACTAATATGGTCCATTTGTAGAACGCACAGAATAATCAATTTTGTTATAAAAAGGGAGGTTTCTCCCTCTTGCTCAATAAAATAAATATTTATTATTAACGGTATATATTTGACTTAAGCCTATTCTATAAAAAATTAGTTTTTTTAGAGCACTGGCTAATTAAAATCCTAATATAAATAAAATATTTCTTTTTGAATATACTCTAGCTTAGTCTTAATCAATTCCTTTTCTTTCCTTTGTCGTTTTGTTTTTTTTTTTTTTTTTGGCAATTGCGTTATACTAAAAAAATATTGTTGTCCATTAAAAAAAAATATTTCATTTCTGGCCTAGAAGAGTATACATATTATAACAATAAAATATGCTTGATCGATACAATCCAATCATTATATAATAATGATTGCATAATTTTTAATAAACTACCCTTAACAAATGAAAAATAATACATGCACTAATTTATTTAAAAAAAAAAAAAAAAACCTATACCTGAGTCCCCTTTTTGGAAATTATAATTTTTTTCTTTTTAATATTAACAGTATATATATTATTCCTCACATTTTTGTATATAATAAAAGAAGATTAAAACATCCTTTCGCCTAACCGCAAATTGCCGCAAAATAAATATTCACTTTTTTTTTTTTTTAATAACAAAAGTAATAACAGATTCAAAATAGTTACCATTAATTGTGACGTTTCTTTGCTTTTGTTTTACGGCGGGAATAAACCATCTTTGACTTATGAATAAATATATTATAAATCATTTTTGCATTATTAAAAATAACAGTTGTATCAAAAACAGGATGAATGTAAATATCCTCCTAATGACAAACTAATGTATTTGTTCGTTATAAAAGTTGCTTGCTGTCTTTAATTATACGGGCATATATCTTACCCCATTTACTACTCCCTACCTAGTAATGAAAATGCTATTCCATTTCTATATAATTAAAATGAAAAGAAGAAAAAAATATGTTGACACCTTGTGGAATCAATGGGAACAATATAATAGACAATTCTATACTAAAAGGGAGAGAAAACCTTGGACCTAATAAGAATAAATATAATGTGCTCCCACGTATGCTTTTCGATACAGACGGTGTTCCTTTTTTTTTTTGGTGCAACACATTTATGACACTTCCGGGTTTTATTTCCTTTTTGTGGGTATAACAAAATTTTGCAGTTTCGCTCAAGAGAGAGAGAAGATCATCCATTTAGGATATGGATTCCTTCTATTCATAAGAAAAAATTGCTAGCTAATAGGAAAAGGGTTTACGAATGAAGTTTTTGCCATATTAAATAATATTGCCCCTTTCCTTTTTTTTTCACAATGCTGTGTCCATTAATCTGTTAATTCTTATAAATTCTGAGCGTAGAATAAATAAGGGAATCTCGCGCGAAGTGGCGAACTACCCACCTAGCGAACATGAAAAGATCAAATCAGACTTTTAGCGAAACGCTGTCTAAGTAACCTTAGCGCAATTCTAGTACGCACAACTTATTGTGTGTAACAGTATTAAGGCTCTAAAGGCAGCTAGCTTTGCATACTTTGGTAACAAAAAGAAAATGTGGCTTTCTCCTTATTCTTTACTTGTTAAAATGCATCCAAATACGCTATTTCCCTAAATCGTTATTTATTTCAACAGCGTATCAGTCGTTACAGCAAATTTGACAGAAGAGCGTGTTTAAAACTTGCAACCTTTTACGCACCTCCTATGTAACTGTAGGTGCATCTCTATAAAGAATATACTGCTGTGTAAGATTGTAACATATAAGGTTTGCATTTAAGTCGTATATTCTTAAATATAAGCTTCCCCATAATATGATAATCAACCATCTTCTGCTACCCCAAAATTCCACTTTAAAAAAGTAACATTTTTTGAATGCTCAAGGAGAGACAAAATATTTGCATTTGATAACCCTCTTAAGAATGCATAAAAAAAAAAAAAAAAAAAAAGAACTGCTCAATAACTCAAGAGGAGATACACACGAGCTCGTTAAAGAAGTAACGCATCTCTGGCTTATGTAAACCTACATAACAAAATAGTTCGGATATAGAAAAATGATCTTATCTTTTTCTGTTTAACGTAAGAAGCTATATTATTTCATGACCTGTCTGCTTCGGTATACCTAAAACACTATGGCCCCCATGTCCATTTTATTTTACTCATAAATTCTATCTCTGGTGTCGTGCAGGAAAATGCAGAAATAATGATTCGTTTATGTCTTGGAAAATCGTGTATTTGATACATACATGTATATGAATTTATATATACTCATAGACGCTCTTCTTTATAATTTTTTCGAAACGGATTTCTTATAACTAGTAGGTGAAACTCACGAAATCACTAATCGTATGAAGAATGAATACATTCAATAAAATGGTAAAACGTGGGCTTCCTTTGTAAGAAAATGAAGTATAAATACAATACACTATAACATAAAATAATATAATGTAATAAAATAAAATATTATACTATATACCGTAATACAATATATGTGATAAAAAGAAAAAATAAATATAAACACGATCGACCTTTAAATTCAGCAAAGCACAGAAATTACGACAGTAACGTAAATGAAAAAATGTAAATTAATTCAGCACAGTGTAATTATATCAAAAGAAACGCTTTATAAATCGTATAAAAAAACATATGCCCCTAATTAAGATCTATTATGCGCACATATATCTTCTTAAAAAATGAAACACTCTCCTTTGATATTAATGTAAATTATGAGAATGGTAATTCCAAATGGCCGTCTTAAGCAGAACCCTAGATTTCAAAAGGATTATCGCATGGGCCATCCGTTAAATGATGGTCGTATTTAGTTTATTTCGTCAGTTGTGAGAATAGGCCACAAAATTAAGCTGTTCACATGGTGCGAATAAAAATTTTACTAAATTCTATATGCTTATACATCAAACTGTTAATTTCTTCCAAACATGAGTAACTTTTATGTTTCTTTAATTTTATATTACTTAAAATAGCCTTAAAAAAATTTCAACTCAGTTGTTATAGGGGAAGATATGTCCATTTGTTAAAGGGTTCATTGATAATTTGTGCTTCCTTAATTTGCCTCTAATTTTTCTTCCTTTCCTTTTCCTTTTTTCATCCGCCGTCCCATGTCCTGGTTACATTTTTTTGAAGACTAAATAAAGTAGGGCAAATCCCATAAAGAAGAATAGGATAGGGGTGCTAAGTAACTGAAGTGTGTACACCAAGTAGGCTAAAATAGCTCCCATAATAGTGGATCCGCCGGAAAGAACTGACATTTTCTTTTCCATCTTACGCATTTTAACCATCATTTTGTAATTATTGTGCTTTAAATCTCTATACATATCTTGGCTTAAGCCCTGGAATTTCATGCATTTTCTTCGATGCTTCATGCGTCTGCTTTCGTTTACCTTGTCTCTGATTTCTCTTTTAATTTTTTTTCTTGTCATTGGGTCCATGTTTTTGATATAATCTTTTGTATCTTGTAATTTATCCTTAAAAGATTTATCACTCTTTGCTACATATCTTATATATTCTTTAAATGTTTCTAAATCTGGGTCCAATTCCTCATCGTCATCGAAACTAAAAGAATGCGAGTTAAGGTGTACTGGCCTTTCATATTTTTCATATTTTTCTTCTTTTTCTTCTCTTTCTTCTTTTTCTTCTTTTTCAGTTCTATCGGCTAAGCTTTCTAAACTGCTATAATCCACTTCTGATTCTAAATCGCTTACTGAAAGCAATCTAGATACTCTTAACTGCAGACCAGTTTGCGCATTTTTTAACCCATTGTTCACGTTATAGCTTAAACCCTAAAAAGGGGATTACACAATGCGTAAAAAAGGGGAATAATACATTTTTATTTTTCAAATATAAGCGAGGCCGATTATTACCTTGAAACATTAGGGGGAGGACATGACATGTAAACAGGAATGGTAGGGAAGCGCTCACATTACAAGTAGCAATGTAAACAGGTGGATATATTACGTACATACTTATATATATTTATATATTGTATGTACGTGATGCAAATTTTTGCCAAGTAGGTTAAACACCTGTGCGCATTCTTACCTTTTCATTATCACAGGCGCGCAATATCCAAGCGCTAAATGTGAATACTAGAATTTTAGCAAATACAATTCTATACATTGCTTCAGAAAATAATAATTATTTGAAGTTATCGTGATATCAGCTGGAAGAAAGTTTTTATGTATTTTTTACTAATAGTATGATAAATGTATCACGCAAAAATGAGCTAACTTTTAAGGGTATTTTTTTTTTTAATTTGCAGCTCCAATTTTTTAAAAAAATAAAAATTAGAAATTTATTTTTAATTTCCTTTACTACTATATGGAAAAATAAAATTTTCACTACTTCTGCCGAGAAATAAGTTGCTAATATAGCTTTTCTTTTAAGTGTACTTCTAGTAAATACGGAGCTCATAAGAAAAATAAAAATGTTCAAAAAATGGTGGAGGTAAAAAATATAAAGAGAAATACTAGAAATAAAAAATAGTACTTAATATATATAATTCTTGCAGGGTATAATCATAGGGAATAGTCATAGGAATAACAATAAATACTAGTAATGCTAATGATGAAATAAATTGCAATGCAAACATAACTCTGGAAGAATAAGTCAGTACTAAATAACAAGAATTAAATTGAAAATCTTGCCAAATAATGTGAATGTTAAATGGCAAGTGTAACATTGCATAGAGCAGGGATATTTATCAAATAGTGAAGCGCTGCGAAAGAGTACTTATTTAAATAGAAAATTACGCACGGTGCATGTTAAAAAATACCATTGCGTAAGAAAAAAAAAAAATTAAAAAACAGTACGAGCAAGCGAGCGAAGGGATGACAAACACCACGATTTCTCCACTAGAAACTCGGGAAATTTACGCATAAAGGAAAAGAATTGAAAAATCAAAGAAAGCATGAATAAATAGTGTTATTTATAAATGACAAATTTTATTATGAAAAAAATGTATGTGCCAGATCTGTATAATTAAGAAATATTTATCCACCTATTAAAAAATCGTTACCTGGATGGGTATGTAAATTAAATAATCCCCTAGCAATGCACTACTCGCTTTCGGGCAATTATATTTTTCCTAAAGCACATTTTAGAGGAAAAAAGGTTTTGTTTCCCCCGTGCATAAAATTTTTTCAATAAAATTGTTCCGGTTTAAATAAAACAGAGTGCAAAGGGAATAAAACGTGAACATTTTCTATCCTAAAAGTAATAGCGGTATTAGCGATTCTTTTGAATGATCTCCTCATCGTTTACAGTTCCCCTCTCCCCCGCTCCCCCCTCTATGCTGAAACGTATATATGGTTTGTGCATTTTAATATGGTAGCGTATAATTTACAAAATCCCAACCTTTCTGTATTTAAAACCCAAAAAAAAAAAAAAAAAAAAGGGGAAAAAAAAATGTTCCATGTGCCTTTACAAGCATGCATAATATTATAACTTTTGCTAATAAAAAAGATGTAGAACTTTCCACATATCAATTACAAATGTGCCTGCTCGCACATCATACAACTTACAATCCGTGAGGTGGAAAAAATGAAAAGTCAAAACACCATCGACGCGCTTAAAGAAGGAATAACCATAACATAGAAAATAAAGTATAAACTAAAATGGCAATATGGCAAAAAGGACACAAGAAAACAGTAAATGTAAAAAAGTTGGGGATGACTAAGGACCTCGATTCATTGTAAAAATGGTTGTTCTTGGCGAATACCTCCTTATGTATTAGTAGCACAACTCTAAGGATGAAAATGACCATTTTGTATTTACAATTACCCTGGAACATACCAAAAGAGTTAGCAACCCTACCCATCGCCAAAAGCGCAGGGATCATCAAATTTGATGATAATCCTTAGTTCTACAAAAAATAATATCAATAGCGAAAACCATATAAATTAAATAACCATTTTTAGCATTGTTTAAACGTGAATTTTTAACTTCACGTGTAGTTACTGCAATGGAGGTTACAGTGTCTTGTGCTTCATGAGTATAACACGGTCTGCGGCAAATGCAGAACTTCATCGGGGAAAAAGAAAAATAGATATCCCGCGTAATAGGAAATGTATATTTTCCTTACTACCTTTTTTTTTTATTTCCCTTTTATTTTATTTTTTTTATCTGAGAGACAGAGAGAACCTTTCACCCCTTTTGTAGGAATCGCCTTATTCACCATTACACTAATTCCAAATTGATATACCCGTGCACGGCTATAAATAGGTGTGCACTTGTTTCCTTTCCATTATAGCTACAATTTAATGGAACCTGCTAGTTTTAAAAAAAGTACGAATTCACAATTTAACACTCAGGAAACAATAAAAGTATTTAATACGGCTAAAAAGTTTGCGCGCAAAAAAAAAAAAAAAAAAGAACACTCTTAAGGACTGTACATATACGTTGACAATTTCTTTTAATGAATTTTCCCATATATATATGTAAAATACAACATGCATATACACATCAATGGGATCATTTTGAACTTTCTCGTGTTTTGTTTGTTCACAATTTATGTGACTCTCTCTAATGCAGGTTAACAAAATGATGTTAAAAAAGAAACTCGCAGAATGAAAACTAGAATGAGGAAAGCTCTAACGAAACGAAGATAATCTCAAATTATCATGGCTTCCTTAAATCAATTAAAGGAATTATATACATTTAAAATTTTTCTCAGAAAATTAGTTATAATTACTTGGTGCATAATTTAAAATCAAGAAAAATCCGAGTAAGAATTAAAATTTATGCCATTAATCGCATCGTCCAAGAGCATATTAACCATAGCAATAACAGGAGGATATTGTTCTCTATTTAACAGCAATTTCTTAGATACTGGTAACTCAACAGAAACTCTAACACCTCTTGCATACGGTGTAACATTTAGGTAGTTACATAATGTCATTGCTAGATCTATTTTTTTGGCACAAATCATAAAGAATCATTATTTCCTTAATCAAGTATGATTTAATCCTATTAGTCATGTGTTTCTGCTAATGTTTTATGCTCAAGAAAATAATTTAGACGTTTGCATATGCGATTTAGAGTATTATCTAATGAAATTCTACTAGAAAAATTAATTCCAGCGACACATTGATAAGATTGAATTAAATCTGATTCTATAGCATTCTCATTTCTTCGTCATTCTAACCTCTCCTCATTATTAGCACTATTTAACAAATCACGCAAAAACTTACGCGTCACATGGTATTCTATAGAATAAACCTTTTTAACTTTCATTGCGATAGCTCTATTAGAAATAAACCTTGCATTAGAATAACAGATAACAGTTCCCATAATTTTGACAATATATCTTCTACTACCTTGTTCAGTAATATCCACATTTTTTACGATACGTCCATAATTAAATGCTGTATTATCACAGTTGCATAGCGAGACATTAACGTAGTAGCTTTGTCTAACTCTCGAAGGAATACGAACTTCTCCAAAATGGTTTTCTTCAAAAACTCCTTGCTCAATTATTGTCTGTTCGGCTATTCATTCTTGAGATCTTCTCATTTCAGCCATGCTCTGTTAAGATTCTCTCGTTTCAACCATGCTCTGTTGAGATCTTCTCGTTTCATCCTTCCTCTTTTGCTGTTTTTTCGTTTCAGCCTTCCCCTTTTGCTGTTTTCTCGTAACGACATTCCCCTTCTTAGTTTTTCTGGATTCAGCATTGGGCTGCTGTGTATTGCTTCCTTTAGAATTGGCTACAGCTCCCTTCAAATTCTTAGCTTCCCCCTCAGACGTAGGTGCTAAATCTATGATAGTACATTTCTTAGTGTTTTTCCTTTTTGTAGGACGCATTGTTCTTATAAGTAAAAATTCTCGTTAGGATATATATGCACTTCTTATGTATATATGTGTATGTATAAAATACTTTAATAACAATTAATGTGGAAACAAAAATTAATAAATAAAAGGAAATCTTTTTATTTTTTTACAAAACGTAAAGTACGAAAAAGTAAAGATAAAAATATAGGGAAAAAGAGTAATCACAGCTCTGTGCAGCTATGTAGGAATAATGTACTATTCAATCCAGCATGGATTATGAAAATTAAACATTAATGTGTAAATTTAACGTTTCAGAAGTTTGTATTCTTTATTATTTTTAAAACGTTTTGTTTGATAATAATCAATCAAATCAAATTATAGTAAAAATTCTTTGTTTTTTGAAAATATTTAAACCATTTTTTCTCCTTCAGGTATTGTGTCACGCTTATATAGGTTTGCGAAAAAAATATTAAAAGTAAAATATATTAAATTAAAATAGAATAAAATAAAATAAATTAAATCAACTTAAATTAAGTTAAATTAAAGACGTATCTAATTTTTTTATTATTTTGTCATCTTTAAAATACACTCTTAATTATTTTATTTAAAAATACTCTCTATAAAAAAAGTCCACTCTACAAAAAAGTACGCGGTAACAAACATATGTTCTCCTCAATTGTGACACACTACCGCAAACTTCATGCAAAAATGTATTCTTTGGGGAGGGTACTCCTTTCCTAAGAAAAATATTTGTGTACTTTTTGCATACAGCCACGGAGCATGAAATAAGTAATCCAAGAATCCTTCTCGACTTATAAAAAAAAGAAAAAAAACAATAGTTAAGATATTATATAGGAACCATTAAAATAGAAACACATCAAGAATCATTATTTTAAAAAAAGATTCTCTTTTTTGCAGTTTTACATTACTTGAGGTGGCCCGGAATTCTACGCTAAAGTGAATGAAAATTTCTACTTTTTCTTTCTTTTTGTTTTTTTTTTTTCTTTTCTCGCTAATTATTTGCCAGTAATGCACATAAAAAGATTTTATATTTTCACTCTCTTTTCTTGTATACCAACGAGTATTATAAATAAAAATTCGACATTCTCAAAATGTGATTAAAAAAAAAAAATGGAAATGCCTATATCACAGGTGCATCTACAAGCCTCTCCCTTGGATTGTGTACTTGTATAACATATTTTTCCTTTAATCTTCGTTCCCACATTTTTTAATTTTCGCTTCTATCTTTCTTATTTTTCTCCTGCATCTTTTCCATTTTGTTCTTCTACATTCTTCTGGCTGCACAAATTCGCATTTTCCCATTTGTCGCTTTCCACGCTTTCCACGTATACCATTTTTGAGTTTACGAAAAGACAAACAAGAAAATCAAAAAACTTATAAGCAATGATCCTTTTTAAACGTTTAACGAAGTGTTAAGAAGGAATACGTACTTAATGTTAATTACACGTTCCTCTGTCATTTCGCTAATTTTACACTTTTTATATCTATGGCCATGAAAACTTTGTAAGAACTTCTTCTATTATGTTTACCCCCTCAACCATTTGCGAAGTTTGTGTATCATAAAATGGTAAAGATCCAGGTATCAAAATTTGGTAATAAGTTAGTAAAAAACGTAGGGGGCATTTAAATTGAATTATTAGTGAAACCTCATTACCGATCTACTAAACGTATGCCGTTTTTTTTTTTTCCCTTGATCTTCAAACAAATTTTTATTGCAATGGTGAGGGTAATTCCCATTATTTCTTATTAAAAATAAGTTTTCCAATGCAGGAATAAGGTGCATTACTGATAAGAGTTGCTGATCTAAGATTTTTATTACCATTACACGGTTATATAATGTAGCATAAAGAAAATAAACGTATCTCAGTTAGGAACCCCAAATCGGTTATTAACAGAATTGATTATCTACACTAGAATGTGCTTTAAAAAGTTAGTTCTTAAATTTAACACTAAGATAAGAGAGAATTTTTCTTTTCTCTTACATTGAAAATGCTACAAATTATATGGAGGCATTGAATTACTCTACCTTTTTAATGCGTTTAATGCACACAGGCAAGTGTGCACTACTGGCCGGATATACCTCAAGTGGGCATGCTTATCCCCGCGCGTTCATCACTATAACCGGGTGAACATAACTGACCACACATGCACATATAAACCTACCAAGCAGACTCAGTTGTAACGAGACACATCTACACGGTTACATATTAAAAGAACAATTTAATGACTTTATTATATATACTATAAAATTCGTCAAATATTTCTACACATAACATATTAACATAGTTCGTCCCTTTTAAACTTTTTTCTTATATAAAGTCTATGCGTTATACGTAGTACAAAATATATTATATATAATTATTTTTCAAAATGGGCACTTAATTCCGAAAAAAGAAAAAAAAAAAAATTAAACCACAATATACAATACTTAAAAACTAGCAAGTGAAAAATTATAAATAACAAACAAGCAATAACTTTTATAAGTTTAGAGAGAAAAAAAAAAAAAAAGATGAAACGAAATCAAATTATGCTTAAAACATAGTACTAAATTATATAAACATATAAAACCTATAAAAAAGAATTTCTAAAGTGAAAAAAATTAAAACCAAATATGTACATATTGTTTTAATTTTATTCATTAGTATATAATATCATAACAAGCTTAGCTTAATTATTTAATTATCTTAATTCTTTTTTATAAGAGAGACACCTTTTAATGGCGAATATACCATAGCACTATGCGAAGACATGGACGTGTAAATGTACTAGCGCATGCATATATTGTTGCATACACCAGGGGGATGGCGATTGGGCTGACAAGCATATATACCTATACATGTGTATCTGCATATATATATATATTATACGATCTCGCGAAACAAACGTGCACAGGGAACAAGCATACACACATTACACATGCATACATCTATTTTCTGCGATTCTTGCGCACCTAGATCGTTAAGAGCACATGCAAAAAGACGAACGGATCATTAACCTTTCATTTCAAAGCAGTTAAAAGTCCCAAGATATACACTAAATAAATATTTCTCTACATAATATTTTCGTCCTTACATATGTCCGTAACGCGTCCAATAATTCTGGAGGACACGGAATCAATAATAGCATCATCGTAAGTGTACGGAATGGTTTCCAACTTTTTCTTAATTTTACGTTTAATCATTTCTGTATTCAAAATGTGATGTACGTTGTTTGTTCTATTTGGATCACTAACTTTCTTCATCGTTTCTTTGGATAAATTATTTTCAAGTTCATACATCTTCATCATACGTTTGACTACCTCGGAGGTAGTTCCCTGTGCTACAATTTCGTCGTGACGCTCCTTCGTTCTCTGCACTTCATTAGTTACCGTTCTATTCGAAAGAGTAACTCCCTCTGTGTACATTTGTTTTCTAATAATTTTTTCAATCATTGCAGTATTGTTAGCAACTCCACTTCCATCGGATTTGTAAACTTCTTCAGTAAACCACATTAATGTATCTAAGAATCCTCTAAATAAACAATCCATAAGTTTATCCATTTGGGAATAAATTGATCTTCTTCTAAGACTAATTAATTGATTCCTCGCACTTAGTACGCTCTGTACCCCTGCTTGTCCAAGAATCCTCCCGAATACTTCCCCCTTCTGACAGGATGCTTCCTCACAAGAAGTCTTCACTACATTCGTATCATATTCCGAAACAAAAGTAGAACCACACAAAAACATTACAGATAAACTAACAAAGAGGGATAACCTCCTGTAATTAGATTTCGTTGAATTGTTCATCTTTACAGAAAGATTGTTCAAAAAAGAATTTGGAACAGGGGCGTAATTTTTTTAATAAAAAAAGAATTTACGAAAGAGTCGTAATTTTTTTAATAAAAAAAGAATTTACGAAAGGGTTGTAATTTTTCTAATAAAAAAAGAATTTAGAACAAGTTAGTAATTTGGTTAATAAAAAAAGAATTTACGAAAAGGTTGTAATTTTTCTAATAAAAAAAGAATTTAGAACAAGTTAGTAATTTGGTTAATAAAAAACGAATTTAGAACAGGTTAGTAATTTGGCTAATAAAAAAAGAATTTAGAACAGGGTCGTTAATTTTGCTAATAAAAAAAGAATTTACAATAATAGGGTCGTAATTCTGTTAATAAAAAAAGGAATAATATTCCAAACGAATCTCAAAAAGGGGGCACTTTTTACTTTTATATAAATGTAGAACTTAATATTTTGTACGTGCAAGTGGGGTCATAACTACCTAGAGAGATACGTACCCGCCAGCGTTATTGTTTTCTGTATAGTGATATATATAAAAATGCCGCAGCCTATGTTCTAAAAAATGAGGGAGAGCCAAAATATGTTGCAAAAGTGAAAACAATTATAGTACTAACTATATGTACAAATACATACGTATGTTATACGTATACATATATATATACTTTAACCGGTTGCAGTTGTTAACTTCAAAAAAAGTACAATGTCTGCATTCTAATAACACGAGGCGAACAAATTTTGTAATTTTTTTACATATAACAAGGAAACGCTTTTTGTTTAAAAAAAAATATAATAATTAATAATGCATAAACGAATAATACGTAAATAATTGGTTTCTAACTTTTCTTTCCCATACATCAATTTCTTTTAAAAGTAGTCAATTTTGAGTGTTGTTTTTTCTGTTTAAAATGGCAAATGTTCCTACAATTAATTTATGCGTGCACGTATATACATTGTACAAATAAATATCTTGCAAATTTATACATATAAATGAAATCTTTTGTACAGGTAAATTTTTATTTTGCATATAAAGTGCGCGCTTATTTTTTTTAATAACGATGCCAACAATTTGCCCCGCCGATTTCGTCCTCCTTTGTCATTACTAACACGTAATAAATATGCAAAGCAGAAATGTACCCATCATTTAGTTATATATATAATGTACATGTATATCTCTTCTCAGTGCTGCATTAATGGATACACATTCGCCAAAAGACGGCACCCCCCCCCCCCTTTTCCTTT